AACTGAAGATTTCAGAGACCAAGGAGCTCCAGAACCATGGCATGCAGCAGGAAAAACTTCAACAGGAGTCCACAGGGACAGGGCAGAAAGTCAATATACAAAATTCATTTGGTTTTACTTACTGAGAGAAGATCACAGGTTAAATTATCTAAATATGCCAGAAACTCGAATAAGGCTAGGCTTCCAGCCAATGCATCCAAAGTTAGAATTTTTATCTCTCTAGTCACTTGATGATAGGGAGCTTGCTTAGTTGTATTAATGTCTGTTAACTATAAGCATTGATAAAAATTCCTATGTGCTCTCATCAGGCTCTCTCTAGTCATAGAAGCTCAAGGAACTTTAGGTAAAGATTACAGGGCTTTAAAAAAACAAAAGGGTGTCCTTTCCTCAATTTTTACTGTCTTCTAACCACTCTTATGGGCTACGAAGCACAGAAGGAAATTATTTTTGAGAAATAGAAATGCAATACAGAGATATGAAATTTAGCTGTAAATATAGTTGTGTTTGTCTCTGAAAATGATTCATGGAAGAAAAGATTTGTAATAATTTTTATTGATCCTTGAGGACAGGGATCATATCCATTCTTGCTTACAGCTGTGCTCCAGCATTCAGGACAGTGCTTGGCATATAATATATACTCAATAAATCTTTGTGGAATGAGCAAACATGTGACAGATTTAGCAACAGTTTTAGTAAATTTTTTTAGAGGAATGTATATAATTTCCCATTATCTATCTTTGTGCTCTGGTGAGTCATTTTGAAGAGAAATATTTTCTTCTCCTGATCACTGTGAGACACTAGATATAATATTTCAATTCAATGTAAGAACCCAATTAAGACCATCACATGAATCAGCAAAGATCTGGAATTGTACACCTGACCTGACTTGGATGAGTAACATCTTCCAGAGCAGGTGATCAGAATTATTAGATTTTTCCAGGGTAGGTTTGTAGTCAAATAGGCAAAATTACCGAGACTATATTGCCACTCCTCTGGTAAATAACTGTTGGATAATAGACCAGTTCATGGAATTTTCAGCATAAATAGACATTATTTAGCATTTAGTTTGTTATATTTCTATGTTCATGTGAGCAGAAATAAAAAAACTGCTTATTTTTAAGAAATATATATATATATATATATACATATATATATCTCCCCTGTAGTATGCATTTTGGTCTTTTTCATTTTCCAGAATAATATAACTGTCTGAAGTAAAAGCAAAGAAAGTTCAGGGATTAGCAGGTGAGTGACCTAGCTCGTCCGGCTCCAGTCACGTGACTGGCAGGTGCTTCAGAAGGCTATGCCGGCCTTCATTTTCTGCTCTCACACTCATTTCGTCCTGACCAGCCCTGAATCTTTGTGGCAGGGACCCTTTCTGAAGCCAGGAGAGGAAGTTGGAGGAAAACCCTGATTCCCTTAAAGCTCTTTGGTTCTCAGAGTCTGATCCAAGAACCACCTGCCTCAAAGTCTCCAGAAGCTTGTTAAATACCCTCATTTCTGGACCTCACCACCGATCTACTCATTCAGAATCACTGGGGCCATATTTTGGGATTTGCATTTTTAGCACTATTGATTTTTAACAATATCTAATGCACACTGAGGTTGGAGAACATGTATTTTTCCAGAGAGGTGATGTTACGTAGGGAAGTCACCTGACAAGAGGTTTTTTTGGTGCCCTCAGTGTCCTGCCTTTACCCCCACCCCTTGGGGCCCCTGGGTTTCACTTCCTGCTCTCTCTGCCCTCGGATGGAGCAGGTACCCTGGCTTTGGGCTCAGCATATCTGCCAAACATTTTCTGCCAGTCCTGAACTTCCTGTTCTTCCCAGAAACGCTGGCACAGGCAAAGGAGAGTCTGAGAGTAGTGGAGGCATGTGCCCAGTTGGGACGGCTTGAAAACTGACTCCACGTGCAGACTGAGTCAGCACTCTCTGCTGGGGAAAGGAGCAGGCAGTCAGGTGACTCAGTGCTGCCCGGGGACAGAGAGGGGTCCACCCATGTGACTGGCCGTGGGGCAGCCAGGGAGGACCCCACCTCCAAAGCATCTTCCACAGCCTCGAGGGCCATGGCTTGGAACCCTTTGCCCCACGACTTCACACACAAACCTTATGCTCCTGGGGGCACAAGCTGTTCCACTACCTCTTTTCCTGCTGTTTCAAGAAAAACACTTAGGAAAGAATGAGAGCACTAGAGACTGTTTTGTTGCGATTATCAGCGATTGCCCCAGAACATGCTTGCTAAAGCTTTAGAACTCTACTATCTCCCCCAGTTCTCGTCCTCCTTCAGCTGCTCCACACAAACCAACAAAATAATCAAAGAATGATACTTGTTACGTTCAGTCAGGCCTCCTTTAAATCTTCTAGACAGTAGTCTCTGACCAGACTGCTGCCCAGAAGCCTCTCTCGGATGCTGGCGCTTCCAGAATGAACAAAGCACGCCCAAAACCTTGAATTTACTCTCTATCTTAATTGTTGCTGCTTTGTTAATAGTAATGAATTACTTGGTGGTTGCCCAAGCCTTTTACCCTGGGGGTGAGAAGAAGGGTTTAAAAAATAAGCAGCTCAGAAAAGACTCTGTACTTCTCCAACTTCAGTGTATAAAGAAGCAGCATAGAAGCATGTTTAAATGCAGGTTCCCTAGGCCTCACATCCCATGGCTCTGATTCAGTAGGTCTGAGGTAGGGCCTAGGAACATGCATTCTAAATAAACAACTCAAGTTCTTCAAGATGTAAGGGTTTGTGGGTCTTCGGATCACACCTTGAGACACCCTCATTTAAATGCACTTCCAGGAACCAATGACTGATTTCCAGATTCCTTTTGAATGGTTGGGGGTTTTGGTGGTTGGGAGAAAAGTATTTCAATATTCTAAATGCCTTGGAAAGCAAAAAAAGGGTGGACACAAGTACATGACAGGCATTTGTACAAATTTGACAAGGAGTGAGCTTTGGTATTATGAAAATCACACCTGAAGGAAATGAAACCATGTCATTCCTCTATTCACCTCACCCTTTCTTCTTGCCCTTCGGACTTGAGCACAACTCAGGTCTGACCCAGAGGCCCCAAAGGCCTCTCCATCGCCAGCTATCGTGGCTTCCTCCTGATTTGCTTTTAATATGAAGGTGACGCTAAGAGGTTGAGATTTGCTTTGAGAATTGGGCCTGGCGTCTGGTTCCCGTCAGGATGCACTCTCTTCGTTCCAAGGATGTGTCAAGACTAGCGAAATATCACTTTTATTCATCCTAGTAAACTTGAGCTCTCACTCATCAATTTGGAATGGATCAAACCTTTCTCATTTATTTTTAGATCTTCCTTCAGAAGTGGCAATTTTTATTGCATTTGATCCTATAGGACTTAGGGTAAGAACATTAAGTTATCAAGTAGCGTTTTCCACTTGGTTATTCTAAAGCAGTATTCAACTTTCAAATTTGGAGGTGGCAATTAATTTTTTTTAAGTTCCTACTGGTTTTACATCATAATACACATACTTGTGCACTTGCCAGGTCATTGGTAACATCCACCTGAATCCTTAACAACTTGCCGCACCCTGTTACTTTCTCACATCTGTACCCCTGATAACATCTCTAAACTCCTCCTTCTTTATTTCCACCTTCACTTTCCCAACCTCCTGGTCATTTAGGTCAAGAACACCTGGTATGTCATATCAAATGAGTCTTTTAAAGTGACCAAAGAGCTATGTTATGCTGTTGTACTAGGTGATTTCATTATTAATAGCAAGAACTCATGTAACATTTACCATGTGCCAAGTATCACTCTAAACACTTTGCAAATGTTAACTTATTTAATCCTCATAACAAACCGATGAGGTATATGAAACAGGTAGTATTATAAATTACTGTAAACTAGTTTTATGGATGAGGAAACTGAAGCATAGAAAGGTTAAGTAACTCACACAAGGTCATGTAGCTAGTTAGTCGGTGGAATAAGGATTCTAACTCATACTCTGTGTTCTCAGTCACTATCTAGTATATATTGCCCATCTAAGAAGGTAAAACCAAACCAAATGAAAAAAAAAACCCTCTAAAGACAAACAAAAATATTGCTCTTAAAAAAAAAAAGCTATTTTCAAGGACATTTCAGAGAAGAAGAATAGATACAGCAGCCTAATATGAGACCATACTCAATATAAAGACAGAGTCATTTAATGATTCTTACATCTTCTATACAGTCATTAATACATTCCAACACATGATTTCATCTATTAACTAACAACCCAGCAAACAACCAACATTTAGTCAGCACATGCCAAGAATTATCTCACTTAATCCTCATCCCACTGAGGGCTAGTTTAACAGCTTCTCTGCTCAATATTAACACTCTAAAGAGAACCATCCTTCCAACATGATTTGTACTCAGCATAGTGCATCCAGGAGCCCAGCAGAATAATTGCTTTGAGGAGTAAGATACAACAGACCTACACTGCAGCAGCCTTTTTGCTGCTCTCTCAGCATCAGCCTTGATGAAAATCCATATTGCCGGTTCCTAGCAACATCTACTTATATTTTGCAGAAAGTATTAACTTAGGAATTCCAAGCCTGAGTTGTAATTGTGTGCTGTGTGATCCAGGGAAGGTCATGACCTCTCTGAACCTGTTTCCTATCTTTCTCATGGTTTTTTGAGGTCCAAATGAAATATTCATGAAAGTGGATAAACTGTAAAGTACTAGAGAATATAAGGTGATGTTACAGATCGTTTTAGTAAATATGGTCATTATTACAATATTTGCCTAAAGGCCATGTGACTGTCTGCAAATTAATTTGCGGTTGACTGCCCTTTCCCCTTCTCCACCCCCCAAGTAAACTTCTTGAGGGCAGGAACCACGTTGTATTCATTTTTGACTCTTAAGACTGTTTCTGGCACATAGTAGGTAATCAATCAATGTTTCTTGAATGAATGGATAAGTAAAAGAAAATTTCCAAGGCATTTGGAAGGTTCCCATCTAGGTTGAGAGGAGCCATGGAAGGAAAAGCCATTCACAATACCTGCTTCCACCACATGGTCTATCGTCGGAAAGCGTTTGTACACTGCGGTGCTCACGGAGCGGAAGATGAGCAGGGACGTGAGATTGACGTAGCGCATCAGAGTCCTGCGGAGCAGGCGCCCGTGCTCGTCTCTGCCATGAACGCTGCTGGAGATGAGAAACATCAGCCTGTCTGGCCAGGGCAGGTTCACAAACTGGTTCCACCATCGGTTCACGACCAGAGTAACGTAAAATCCTGTAGAATAACAGGAAACTATAAAGCAATTTTTTTTTACAGCAGACACATCGTCAACACTGATGCTTTTAGCAGAATTTTAGCCTTTTTAGGTGTTGGGGTGTAAAAATACGTTGTTATCCATATCTTATGATTTTGCCCTCCAGAAAAGGAAAAAAAAAAAAAGGAATTTGTGCCCGGCAATGCCGTAGCACTCAGTAAGTGGGTATTAGAGCTCAACTATTGACAGCAAACATAGAGAGAGTTAGTGAAGAAAAAGCATTATGGTCCGATAGCAGATTATTACCTCAAACTTGTTTGGTGTTAAGTTAGCAAAAGCAGCCCTGAAGGCGAGCCGTATGGTTGATGCTGGTTATGGCAAGCGGTGGCTTCTCTGGCATGCTGCTCAGCTTGGAAACACGCCCATGCAGAGTCATCGGTGTCATCCTAACGGAGACAGCTGTGTGGCTGCATTCTGCTTCGGACCTATACTTACCAAGCACAAAGGTTACTGGAATTTGTTCAGCATATCTGTCACAGTAAATTGATAATTTTTCAAAGTAACGTTTTTGGGCTCCTGTAAGTAACAATCTGGAGCAAAAATAAAATGCACAGCCCTTTATGATATTATACTTTGGCACCTGCGTTGCAAGTGACATTCAGTGCAAACAATTAAGCACAAAGAATCTTAATTTGTTTTTTTAAGGAGCAATCACATTTTCTTTTCTATCTAAGCTGATGTATCTCAAAAGCTTTTTAATAGCTGAATATTCCAAGTACTAACATTTTTAGTACATAAACGTTATTTGGTCACGAGACTGAAATTCATTAACCATTTTGTTTTTAAATACTTTCTATTTTTAAACTTTATATGATCAGTGCATTGGATTTGGGGCATGATACCTCATAAAAGAGTTTGTTTTTCAATTATTTGTCAGGTGTACTAAAAAAAAAAGTATCTTGATTATGGAGTACAGTTATCATTAAATAATAGCCCTGAATTTGACACGTTGATCTTACTTTCTCTGAATATGCTACTCAGCATGTTGTTGATTATTTGTGTTGTACTTCAAGGGATATTATAACTTTATTTTAAAGCCTGCAATTATTTAAAATATAAAATTATACAGATTTAACAATTAGAAGTGAACATCTTTATTATTATATTTGGTATAAATATCAAAATTTATACTATAGCTCTTATCCAAATCCATTTCATGGTATTGGTTAAACATAAATTCCTTTAATGGAACTATTATTGATATTTATATTGTCGGGAGGGGATTCCGAGTCAGAAGAAATGACTCAAGGCAGATTAATACTAATGATCAAAATCCAGAAAGAGATGCAACAGAGATGAACTTGCATCCATGAATGAGTGTAGTTGTTCCAAAGGAGAAAGGAATCCCTTAAAATGATCCCGTGTTAACATGTTTCAAAGGCCTATTTGGGTCAGTAGAACTCTGATAAAGGAAGCAGAGGAATAATGAGGTAACAGGGAGCCACCAATCAGACTGCAGATGAAGAAACGGGAGCTGGTGCTGACAAGGAAGGTGTGCCGGGTGTGGGGTGTGGGTTGGGGTGGAGTTCCTGTCTCAGCTTTGAGGAGTGAGACATTCTGAAGTCAGGAAATGCTGACAAGAGAGGCACCCACTGGTTGCACAGGCCTATCAAGGTCATACTAATGACAAGTTATAGCCAGAATGGTTTCTGATACTCAAATAGAAATGGTCAAAGAGGATTTAATTGGGGAAAGCACAGACCATAGGATCAGACGAAGCCAGATTTGAATCCCGGATCTGCCACTTACAGATTTGGATTTTCAGCATATTTTTAAATCTCTCTAAGCCTCAGTTCTCTCATTTGTAAATGGGATAATAATACCTATGTATCAGGGATGTTATGAGGATTAAAAACTATATGATATAGAAAACAATATAACATATAGTGTGTTTAATAATAAATGATTGTTATTAATAATTGGCCAAAGGAAAAAAATATTTAGCTAATAGACACATAGAAATTTTACTAACTAGAAAGTATTACAGATATTATTTTGTCAAAGCCACACAAAGTAGAAAGAGATATAATCAATGAATTCTGGTGCTGTCTTATGATTTTTACTAAATATAATTACTTGCTTATAGTAGGATTAAAATCTTAGGGTCAATAGTAGACATGAGAATAAAACTGTTCTGTGTTTTTCTATATGTATGTTTGACTTTCTTGACAAATTCAGCCTACAGTTTTTGGTATACCTTTGATCAAGAAGATAAGGATCTATTTTAACAAACTTTTACAGTTGTACTTTAAAAAATTAAGGATGACTTGAATTAATGGTTATTGTTATAAATGTAAGCACTCTTTGGACTTTAGAAAAAAACATATGCATATAATTTTGTAGGGTATAAATAAGATATTGGAACAAAAGTTAAAGCCCCATGGAGCATTTCTGGCTACAGTGCAACTGTTCTAAGGGCTATTCTATTCTAAGCAGCAGTAGCAGCAATAAATTCACATTAGTAAAAATAAACTAATGAGACAATTATCCTGAAATGTCACGTGTCTTCCACCATTTCATATTCTGAAGGATTAGACGATACATAATCAAAATAATATCATATTTATAAGACATATCTGAGTAATTATTAGAGATTCTAAGAAAACTTTCCCTTTAACGATATTTTGCCAAAATGTATATCAATATATACATTTGTTTGAAACAGTAGTTTTGATGTGTAGCAAAATAACTCTTCCTATCCTACTTTTGATAATTATCAGCCAGCCAAATTAATATCCCTCTTCTTCAACTGGGGTCCTGTTGCCACAAGGAAGAATGTAGGTGAGAGCAGTGATATACGAATTTGTTCATCTGTATGTAGAAGAAAAATAACAAATGGATGTACATAGAAAAGGTGGAAATACAGCCTCAAAAACCTTTTTAGCTTTACTTTAAGTTTTAACTTCCCCCAGAGAAGAAATGTATGCAATCAATTTTAATTTAAAAACACTCATAAAGCTTCCCTTTTATGATACTGATAAAATTTTATTAAGACTATAATTTTTAGTCATAAAAGTGTTTCTTGGACTAAACATTACTCAAATTTTCTGTCAATCCAACAGGCATAGGTTGTGATGTTACACAGAATAAATATCTCCTTTTTTTAATATAACATGCCCCAACCTCAGAAGATATAAAGAAAACAAATGAATTTTAAGGCTTTTTGTTTAGTTGAGGTATTGGTAAGGTTGGTGGGCACCATCCTGGGTAAGATCTTGTCAATCCAGGAAAATGAAAAGAGAGTTCCTGTATCAGCTGTATATGCCTGATAGACACCATTCACAAACATGTTAATTACATAGGTAGTTGCTACAAGCTGTCAAGTCACAAATTCAAACTGTGAATAAACATAACTGAGAGAGGCACAAATGATTATTCATCTGTGGGTTTTCCATTCAAAATGATCACGTAGCAAGGATCTAAGTATAAATCTTCCATTTTACGCCTATAGCAACATTCTTGATGCTTGACTAATACCTCACCGTGATCAATGAATGTGGGTCTGGAAGGAGAACCATTTGAACATGACAATTAGAGTCTATTTAACATCCTAAAAACGGTTAGGTGTGGAGTAAAATACCCGTTCCAGGGAGAAGGTACAGAGAGGATCATGCAAAGGAGGAGGTTACATAACGCAAAAGTCAGCGGCAACCGCAGGGCTCAGATTTTTGAGACTGTATTCTCACGTGATAGTTGATGGCCACTGGAGGAAACATGCAAAGGAAAGTACCTGTACACCAAACTTATTGCTGTGTAAAAAACAGCAAAAACAATAAATTCCCTGTACAGTAGTTTGTAGATGCTGCCTCTCCACTTGAGGAGTAACCTATGAAATCCAAAAAAAGTCGCATTGGCTACTTTACTGGAGTAAGTGACAGTCATCTTGGATAGTTTTTTTTTCTAGAAGAGCAAGGAGACAAAACACACGTAAGAAGCAATGTTTAAGACAGAGCATAAATTTGTATCTCAAAGGAAACCCAAGCCAGCAACCACTCAGCCATCTCCCCCTTGTTTGCCTTTCTCAGTTTGTATAATTTGGAATTTGGAGAACATCACCGCCTTGGTGCTAAATGGTTTAGCAGAAAAAAGGTGGAAAGGCGTCTCTGGAAAGAGTGATGTTAGAAATCGTAAGCCTGCCTCAGTTTCTAAGTATTGTTATTTTTAGATTACATAGCCATTGCTCCTTAAATATTTGAATAAATAAATGAGATATATATTGTTGTAATATTGCCTAGCATATATTTCCTTAAATCACAGGAAGATTTAAGGTACTGATATGCTATATTAATTGACATTTTCAAAAGCAGTGGCCAAACTTCTTTGGGCTTTATTTGCTAGCGTATATAAAGAGGTATTTATTTCACCCTTAAACTTCCTACAGGGAAGTTATGGCTCTCTTCTTAGAAATCAGGAGATATTGTTGGAAAGAAGCAAGTCCCCATGGGAATTTAATTGATGGGTTATTTTTGGTGGCTTTGGTTGGATGTGGTGTCTCGCTAATGGAGCTGAGTGCATAGTTAGCACTTCATGCATTCCAAAAGGTGGACAAAATGTTGGGCCACAGTGATACTATGAAAGGTGCACTTTCCCATTGAAAAGTGTAGCATAAAATGCTTAGGGATGGTTCCTTCTCTGTTTAGAGCCCAACAACAACAACAACAACGAGACCATTATTTAGGACTGTTTCCATTTGAATCTGTTCCATGGATGTGGGTAGGATGAGAGTTGGGCCCCAGAAACCAGTTTTCAGTGAGTTCTCTGGCATTCCATAGCTTTTCACCAAGACATTAAACATTCAGGTTTTCAGAAGATGGTCCAAAGAAAGCTAATCTTTGTTTGAAAATCCTGCTCAACTACTCTCACAAACATGGAGCATATAGAGATAAAAATGATGTTTCTTTGAAGCCTTTTGGTTTTCTCTAAAGAATCTATGAGGCGAGTCTTACAGAGCTACTTAGACTGAAATTATGGAGCTTTTTAGATAGAATTGTACTAGACACAAGAAATAAATCCTATAGCCAATTTCTTATGTAGTCTACAGCACTCATTGTGCTATAAACAAAAATAATCACTGCCTATATTCGGATCTGGGGAAACAATTCAACTGTAATTTGCCTAGTTTCCCTAAGGAAATAAAACTCCGGAACTATAGTCACAGCGTTGTTTTATAATCACAAAGTTTAGCCTTCAACACTACTGATTTTAACAAAAAAAAAAAATAAAACAGGGCTTTTGGCATAAGTAAGTGGCATTACGAAAGGATGGGACTCATGCCACAAAACTGGTTTCACTTTTCTAACTTTACCTTGTCTATTTGATTACAGCCAAAATTGGGAGAGGAGCATAATAAATTAAGACTATTTCATAATTTGTTCTCATAGTAGTTTTAACTAGCAGCCTTGAAATGACTTTCTGTCACATAACAGTTCCACCTTCTATTTAAATTCTGTCAGAAAAACTTAAGATCAGGATTAAAATGCAGAGGAATACTCTTTGAGCACTAACCTATTTATTTGGTTTGGAGTCTCCGACGGGAAAGAAAATCTTTAAGGCTCCCGCTGAATGGGCGCCTCCAGGTCGGTGTTGAAGTCTTCGTTTTCACGCTTCGCTCGTGCACAGTCAGATTTTCTTTCTAGTCTCTGGCCACTGAGAGGACCCAGACAAGTACAGAAGTTAAATGATTTTCCACTTGTGGAAGCCTGTTTATGCCAATTTGCCCACTGATGACAGTAATAGCCGGGAACAAACAGAAGCAGCAGCTGCTGAGGTGGCTTTTTTCTAATCTATAATTATAACTCCACCTGCCGCCCCAAGTACCCCTTTGAATGAGAAGTCGGAGGTGACGTGAAGGAGGTTGGGCTGTTTAAGTCTGTTACTTTCGTGTGGACTCTGCCCTGGGATCAAGGAGAAAGAGCCATTTTCCCCCTAAAAAGTTGTGAAGAGGCTCCACCAGCCAAAAAAGGGAATTAGGGCAGTCTGTGTGTGCTCAAAACGCAGAATGAATTCTTGTGAAGCCATAAACTGGGGCAGACACGACTGTAAACAGGATTTACACTTATTGGAGAGGTATTGCGAATGCTCTTCCATTAAAAGCAACAAGCATGTATGTTTGAGAGAAAGGGGGACAGCCTTTTAAAAGAGCACAGGGAATTATTACACGTGATGGCTTAATGTAGTGGCAAATGATTACACACTGATTCATCATTACCTTCGTGATCTTTCCCTGGTAAGCTAGGAACATTTTTTAATTATTCAAAATGTTTTCTCTTAAATCATGCCTCCACAGTTTTCTTTTTGAAAGAGAGAGTTCATGAGAACATTCTTTAAATAATAATTTCAGGACCAATTCCTAGGAGTTTTCCAACCTTCTAAAGTTACATGTGCCCCAAACATTGCATCTTGGTGCAATGGCTACCAAATGACTACAAAAGACAGATATTTTTGTGGAGAAAGAGACAGATAAAAATGCTTATTGAAAATTGGGAATATGCACATTTAGAAGGTTTACTACAGTATTTTTAAGTTTCAAATGCATTAGACTGGTTTCTTTATCAAACTATGAGTCCCTTAGAGCAAAGATGGAGTTCTAGGTGTCTGATTTCTCGCTGCCTTCCTGCCCATCATCCCAGCATGGAGCCCTGTGCATAATGGATATTCAATATGTATTTGTTATTTATCACCTTATCTTCACTATGATATTTCCGTTAGTACATTGGGGGAGTTCATGAATATTTTAGAAGCATATATCCAATGCCACACATTTTATATTTGGATTGCCATGAAAAATGGTAGGATGGATCTGATGTTGTGTTTACAAAGGTTAGCAAGGCTGATCAATGTTATAATATTTGAGTAAATCTAAACCCAAGTGCTTATGAAAAAGAAATGTTGGCGGTATTAGTTTTTAAAATTTCACTCTTCTGTTGGATGTGCAGTAGCCCTGAAACGTGGCATGATTCCCAGCAGTCATGACTACGTAACAGAGATCTGCCTCCTCTGTGGGGCACTGTTGACTGGTTTCGCTTTGAAACAGAGGTAATTATGTCCCTCTCTCCCATCAGGCTGTTTTGACGAATGACTAATTAATGATTGAGATAATATTCTAAATTCAAATTAGTCAATAATGATTAGACTGAATGAACGGACTCCCATTGTTGGCCTCTGAGACAGGTGGCTATTTCTAACAGGTCTGGAAAGATGTCATTTAGAAATTAACTCATTAGAGGTGACAAGCCACTATAGCCTTTTTCAAAATATTTAACAAAGATCAAATTGTAAAGTTAACTGTTTATATAACTTCTTGAAAAAACTTTAAAGTTTATTGTTTAAGATAGGCATTTTCTTTCCAGATTCTAAAAGTAGCATGTCTATTAAAAAAATAAAAAGAAAGTACAATATAAAGAACAGAGTGGTACTCTATCTTGCTATCCTAGAAGGGTGATAATAATTTGGCATAAAGTTCATCTCTCTAGGCTTTTATAGAAAATACTTTAACTCCTATGATTAATAACAAACAATATGATAGATAATTAGGCAATTTCTTCTGAGTGCTTGGTTGCATATAGTCATGTGTATGCAAAACTTTGCGTTCAAACATTAACGAAAGACCAGAACTTGTTGTGTTTTGGAGGATTTGATTCTGACTTTTGGACATTGTTAAATGGGGACTTTGGGACATTATTAAATGAGGAACAAGGAATCAGTAAACATTTTTGAACAGGAAAAGGGCTTGAAAAAAATGTGTGTTGCAGGAAGGTGAGTCTATGGAAGGGAAACTGATGTATTTGAGAGGGCAGGGGCTACAGGAATGGAATCAGTTTGAAGGTTATTATGGTTGTTTTGGTATGAACTGGGGTGGTGGGTGAGGAAGGATGGTAAGAAACAGCCCAAAGGAAAACCACCACTGGAAGGTGAAGAAGAGGGAGGTGATGGGGAGGGAGAAAAGGAGGAGGAAAAAGCCTGATATGACTCTTACTTTGCCCTTTGAGCCCATTTGCTCATGAAGAATAAGAACTACAGAATATGATTTCAAATTTGTTCAGGTGACACAGTTCTTTGTAGGGTGCCATGTAAATTTGATGTGTTTTATCTGATCCTGCAAATAGGAACATTTTATCAGCAAAGATAAATGCAATTTGGAGCTCATGTGCCCATAAGAAAATCAAGTTGTTGAACTAAGTATGATGAGCTGATCCTCAGTTTTTCTGTTAATATTTGTTTCTGGCACTTATTCATTTTGGTATGTGCTGGATCTCTCTAGAAAAAAGACAGTAGTCAGTGCCAAAGTTTCAAGAAAAATTCACGGAGTAAACTTTCAATTGAGAACATTCATTCATTCATTACCCCCCCCCACACACACACACACCAAAATACCTTGATTCAGTTGGTTCGAGAACCACTCACAGTGATATTTTTCCCCCACAGGTAAATTTTTATTGGCCCAGTGAGACTGTAATTTTCTTGAGAACTAATGTCTTACTGTTTCTTGGTTTTTCCTATTTAGTGGTTGCCATGATAGATCAACAGCTGCATAACCAGGAGCTGACTGGGATAAGTCATGCATTCATCCAGATGTGTGGAGGTTTCTGATATATGTGGGAGATAGAACTCTGCCAAATATCAAACAAAACGGGTGGGAAACCTCCTCAATTAATTTTTTTCTCTTTGATTTCAGGGGAGACATAGTGAACTCCTAGGACTAGAAAGATTATTGAGTTTTATTATAGCTGAAGCTTTAAATTCATAAGAGACTGGATATTTGAGAAGTCATCATTACTTTCCTTACATAGAGTAATTGCCAGCTCAACAAAACAGAAATGCATTAGTTCAAATTCTGAAGGTTATATTTTTCTAATGGAAGGTACAGAAACTTTGTTCTATTTTAGGGATGAAAGCTTAGTGTCTAGAGAATTATCACTATGGAGCTTAAAGTGTATCCTGTACTTTATAATCAATAATTTTTCTTAAATGGATGGTATCACTTAGCTCACGTGCATTCCAGATTGCTAAAAAAATTGCAACATAGAACCAATTAAAAATCAGTTTAATTTCACACAAAAAGGCAATGCAAATCCAAGTATATTGTTTATTCCAAACAGCTGTGAAATTCTGTTACTTCACTACCATCATGGGTAGAAGGTAATCATTTTGGAAAATACATTACTGTATGGTTAAAGGGAAGATATAGGTAAACTATGCATAAATACTTGGACAATTTTAAAACATCTTTTCTTATGTGGTAAAATGCATGTGGAAATGAAAAACAATTGTTGATTCTGATTTTCTAATATGGTGCATTGAGCATTCTAAAGGTATCTTTTTAGTTTCTTAATATGTTTTTAGCTCCCTAATAGTGGTTACTGCTAGGGAGAGTGATGGGTTTGGAGTAAGAGAGTGAAGGGAAACTTCACTTTTTGTTCCATATCATTTTTTATTTTTAAAATAGCATTCATATTTTCCTATTTAACTACATGCAACAAAAAATCTTATTAGATGCCACTTCCAAATTTAGACCTCTTGCCCAGATGTTTAACCCATTCCAGACTTATATTTGATATTCTCATTCAACATCTCAAACCCAACATGCCCAAAACTGAACTCCTGATTTTCCCCCCTAAAACATGCTCCACCTGCAACCTTTCATCTCAGTTGAAATTCCTTCCTTCCAAAGGGTCAAAAACCTTGGAGTCATTCTCAGCTCTTCTCTCTCTCACACCACAGTCCAATCTTTCCAAATTCTGTTGGCTCCACCTTCAAAATATCATCAGACTCTGTCACCTCACTCTCTCATCTCACATCCCTGTGTCCACTACTCCCACCTCATCAGAGCCATCATCATCATCATCATTCTCCCAGCTTACTGGGGCAGCTTCCCAGCAGCTCTCCCTGCTTCCTCATGCACTCCCTTCAGTCGGTGCTGACAAAAAGGCAGAGTGATCTTATTGAAGGTAAGTCAGGTGAGTCCGGTCACTCCACTGCTCAGAACCCCTCAATGGCTCCCAGTTTCTCTCAGAGTAAAATCCTTAAATGTCCTGCAAGCTCTTCCATGACTTGTTCCCATTTCATCTCTGGCTTCATTTCCTGTTATTCTCATTATCCTGTGGACTCCTCTGCAGCCACACTCATCTCCTTTATCTCCTCGAACATACCAGGCATCATCCATCCCATCTTAAAGCCTTAGGAATGGCTAGGCTTCCTGCCTGGAATGTTCTTCTTCCAGATCCCTAAGGGGCTGTCTCCCTTACCTTTTTGAAGTCTCTGTGCAAATATCTTCCCAATGAGTTGATCACCCTACTTCAAATTGCTGCTGGCCCTGCATATATGGGAGTGTTCCCTCCCCAGATCACCCCCGATCCCCTGACCCTGCTCTACTTTTGCTTTTTATCCATGCCACTTATTTCCTTTGAATATACTGCATAGTTCACACATTTATTGTTTTTATTGTCTATTTACCCCAGCTAGAAGTTGCTTGAGGGCCAGGAGCTGTCTGTTTTGTTCACTGATGAAAACAAAGTACCTCCATTAATGCCTAGTTCAATAAATACGTATTGAATGAATACATTTCTAAAGAGACTAGCGAGGCTTCCACTTTTTCTCCTGATTATACATTTCATGAGGACAGGTTCCATGACTATTTTGTTAATTGCTTTATATCCAATGCCCAGTCAAGCTTCTTATGTCCAGTAGGCACCCAATAAACATTTGTGGAATGAATTAGTGAACACATATTTTTATTTAGAGGTTTATCCCATCTTTTTCATATAAATGACTTTTATAGAATAAAAGAAGGACTCAATATTTTTCTTGCAGAGGTATCGG